TAGTTGTTGCTCTAGTAGTAGTAGGAATTGATGTAGTTGTTGCTCTAGTAGTAGTAGGAATTGATGTAGTTGTTGCTCTAGTAGTAGTATAAATTGCTGTAGTTGTTGCTTTAGTAGTAGTATGAATTGCTGTAGTTGTTGCTTTAGTAGTAGTAGGAATTGTTGTAGTTGTTGCTCTAGTAGTAGGAATTGATGTAGTTATTGCTCTAGTAGTTGTTGCTCTAGTAGTAGTAGGAATTGATGTAGTTGTTGCTCTAGTAGTAGTAGGAATTGATGTAGTTGTTGCTCTAGTAGTAGTATAAATTGCTGTAGTTGTTGCTTTAGTAGTAGTATGAATTGCTGTAGTTGTTGCTTTAGTAGTAGTAGGAATTGTTGTAGTTGTTGTTCTAGTAGTAGTACGAATTGCTGTAGTTGTTGTTTTAGTAGTAGTACGAATTACTGTAGTTTTTTCTACAGTAGTAGTAGGAATTACTGTGGGAGCTTTGGTAGAAGTACACTTATGAGTTTTAATGGTTTCAATAGGAGTTTCGATAGGTGATTTGGTGGTTTCAATAGGAGTATTGGTGGAAGTACACTTATGATTTTGATCATTATGACCACGAATTGGAATATGGTAAGAAACACTATATGTTAAATCGGGTTCGACATTAGCAACTTCAGGTAAACTGGCTAATGCAGCAGCGTCGCTAGGTCTAAACTGCCCGATATAACAAATAAATGATCCAATACTGATGTCTTTAATGTAGTTAGGATCATCTGATTGAATAGAAGCATCGCCAACATGTTTGTCATAACAAGATTGTATCATTTCATAGTGTTTATCTGTTGCAGCCTTTGAGGAAAGCTGAATAATATAAGTTTGCGGTTCTTCATTAGAATTTACTGTTGAAGGACAATCGAATTGTGATGCAACTAATGTGGTCAAACAAATAATAAAAATGAAGATTGTGGCAATTTTAGAGGAATATAAAATAACAACCATATTCAATTTTTAATAAGAGAGCGAGAGGAAGGAGCGAGAGGAAAGAGCGATTGATATAGGATGTTAATAATGAGGCGATAAAGTAGTGAAGAAAGGATGGATGGATATTTAGATAATGCACAAACGGTAGAATTTATAGCTTTTAATCGGTATAACAGTTTTCGTGTAGTGTTTATAGTTTACATAAATTCAACACAAGATTTATATTTGTGCTATCTTAAAAGCTGTACGTAATATACGCGGACATTGTTATTTCGAGTCCTATCCTATGTATAGTAGTATAGTCGGATTAATAAATTTAGTAATGTAGGATAATAAGCGTTTATTATACTCACGCATATAATGGT